AGTGATTGCAGACTACACATTCTAGAAAAATCCCAGCGCCGTTGCTATATTCACTGTGGTGTTCGTATAACACTCAGCCATTATCTGCACCTCGCTCTTCTCTCTTTCTGTTATATCACCAAACCAAGTGACTAGGTCCTCTCCCTGAAAAGATTGTATTCTGACACAAGATCGTCCATCACAGGTGAGCCCTCCGCCTCCGCACGTCAAGTCAAGACAGCTACCAGGCTCCAACTTCTTTACCGATCCCAGCTTACTCGTTGTCCCATCGACTCTTTACTCTGTGGTAGGATCAATTTGTGTATCACGTCCAACGTTCCCAGATCCTCATCTTTTGTCGGTGTTAGCCTTACTCGTTCCGTGACTTCTTCAATCAAGCTCGCATGGGGATGGGGACACCAGGAAGGTCTCAGTAATTTCCAAACCGTTCCCAAATTCGTAGTCATCATGCCATTTCCGTTTCCCATTCTCAATTCTATTCTTTTGGTCGAGCGCGGCACGCTTATCACCTTTGGCTCGGTGATAATGCCCAGGCTCGGTTTCTCCCTTTCCGTTGGATCGATTACGATTATCTTCTCCGTCCAAAATTTCAAGAGCTCCGCCACCTCATGATTCCTGTAAGCGCTCGCGGCTTCTGAATTCAAGAAAGGATTATACGCTATTCCCATCACTCCAGACACGTATTGATACTCTCCCTTTTTATTGGGTCTCGCGTAACCCTCAGTCAAAGCTAAGTTGCGATGCACATTATGCCCCTCTTCAAATTTCTTGTTGTGGAATCTTCGTATCTCATCCAGTTTTCTATGATTCTCCAGGGATTGTCTCGAGTCATCCTCCTTCTCAATTCCCGTACTCCGGTTTTTATTGCCTACCTTCAATTTGTCACATGAAGTCAAGACCTCCAACTCTATTCCCATTAAGCTCCATGCGTACATCAGTTGTCCCGCGGTTCTGACAAAGGGATTCGCCATTAGAGGCAATGCTGATGACGGTGTTCTCATCGCCTCCTCAAAATAAACTCGCAACAGGCTCTGCCAAGTTCGCTTTAGCTGACTTCCCAACTCCAGTTTGTTGACTTCGGCTTTCTGTTGAGTATCCCAATTGCGACGCTTGCGGGAAACCCCTTGATCAAGCTTCTTCAAACAGTCCTCCAATTCCTTCATCGTTTCTAGGGCCACCCACAAAGGTCGAGCCGTATTTCTCGTCGCGTTCTTCTCAAGAGGGTCATTGGA